GGGACGGAGAGACCCTCTGGAACCCATAGGCCAGAGGGCACGGGCGTGCTGGAGAGGGGGGCAGGCAGCAGACTCACCTCTCGGGCCTGCTGTCTGCAGAGACAGAACTCACACCTAGGGGACAACGGCCCATGCAGGGGTTGGTCACCCTCCAAGGCTGGGCCCTGAGCTGCCTGCACACAAACACATGCACACACACGTATACACGCACACACATGCACACACACGCACATATGCACACACACGCACGCACACACACACACGTGCACATACACACATACGTGCATACACAGGCGCACACACACGCACGCACACAAACATGCACAAACACATGCACACACAAACACGCTCACCCCCCCACACGCACACACACACAAACGCACGCACACGTGCGTGCACACGCATGCACATACAAACGCGCACCCACACACGCACATGCACACACACACACGCACACACACACACATGCAAACACATGCACACACACATACACAGGCACACAGGTGCGCACACACACACGCACGCACACACAAACACCCACACACACGCGTGCACACACACACATACACGTGCACACACACACGCACCCACACACACGTGCACACACACACACACGCACACACACATACACACGCATGCAAACACATGCACATGTACATACCCAGGCACACAGGTGCGCACACACACATGCACACACACAAACACCCGCACACACACGCGCACGCACACACACACGTACACGTGCACACACACATGCACACACACACACACCCGCACACACACGCGCACGCACACACACACGTACACGTGCACACACACATGCACACACACACACACCCGCACACACACGCACATGCACACACACACGCACACACACATGCAAACACATGCACACACACATACACAGGCACACACACGCGCGCACACACACACAGGTGCGCGCACACACACGCACGCACACACACACCCGCACACACACGCGCACGCACACACACACGTACACATGCACACACACACACCCTCGCCTGCTATCCATCCAGGCTCGACTTCAGGGGAGTTGTTCAAATGGAAACATCTCTCCCAGGCGGCCGAGCTAAAATTCTCTCCTGCCTCCTGTAGCAACAACAACAACAACAAAAAGAGGGGAAAGCAGATTCCAGTGCTAATGGGGGTGCCAGGTAGAGGGAGGAGGGCACCCCACCAGGGAGACCAGAGGGGACCCAGAGCAGCAGGACAACCTGGAGGCAGGCGTGGGGTGCATTCCCAGCTGCCTGGGCCTGAATCCCGTTCCCCTGCGTCCAGCTCGCTCAGCCTGGGGCCGTCTACAAAAGGGAGGTCATAGACCCAGCCTCCTCGGGCTGGGAAGAGAGCAGGATATGACACTGGCTGGGCATGGCTTGGCACCTGGCAGGCAGTCAGCGCTCACTTAATGGCACCCGCCGTCACTGTCAGCATTCTTACCACCGTGTGAATGCCTCCTGCGCGCCAACCTCCTGATAAAGGAGGTGCCTCACCCTGTGAGTCCACCATTCAATCCCATCCGGCCGCATCAGGCAGAGAAGGGGACCCTGCAGGGCTGAGTGGCCACTTCCCTCCCCGGGGCTGGCTCCCCGTCCCCACCGCCCACCCCTACTCCTGCAGCAGGAGGAGCATCGCCTTTGCCCTGAGGCTGCTAAGGAGCTTCACACAGCTTACGGTGCCCCAGGGCTGTGCAGGGAGGGGCCTGTGCAGGCTGGGCACTAGGCTGCAACCAGGATGAGGACGCTACCTGGCCACAGTCCCCACCCCGGCCTGGGCAGTCAGACACTGCTGGGCGGCTGAGTGACCCTGGGGGACAGAAGCCTCCGGGGACACTGCCTCCGATTCCCCCACCAGCCCTGCCATCGGCATCCCCTGTGGAAGCTGGAGAGAGAACAAGCCTCCAGCCTGGTACGTCCTGAGCTTTACTAAAACCACAGCAAACTCCCACAGCAGCAAACCACAGGTGCTTAATCTGTGCACATCCTCACCACCGCCACCGTCTAGGTTCCACTTTCTGTTTCAAAGAGGAGTGAACACAAAGGGCTGTCTAGGGCACTGGAGGCGTGGCAGGCCTCAGGCTGGACACACATGTGGGAGGTGTCACTCTCCAGCCAAGAAATGGCCACAGGCCAAGAACCCCGAGGCACCCTTGTCCGGCTGAGCTGTGAGTTCCTGCCAGGGCTGACTAGGCTCACAGCGCCCTGGACTCCAGGCGAGTGGGGGAAGCAGGGGGAGCAGATGGGGGTAGGGGGTGGGGAAGCAAGGGGATGGTGAGGGGAGGGGTGAGTGGATGGCGGAGGGGCAAGGCCACTGGTGGGAGACGATGGCAGGCAGAACTGATGGGTGAGGGGTGGCTGGGAGGTGAGGGGGAGGGACAGGTAATGAGGGCAAGGACAGATGGCCACAGGCAGACAGGCTGGGTGGCGCTGGGTGGCGGCTGGGAGTGCTCTGTGGTAGGGAGGGAGCCCCAGGGGATGAGCAGGGAGAGATGGCAGGAGCCCAGGAAGCAGGGGGTGAAGTGGAGTGAGCAGGATGGGGGGCTGTTTGGGTGGAAAGAAAGGGAGGGAGGAAGAAGGAGGGAGGGAGGTGTAGAAGGAGAGAAGGAAGGGGAGGAGGGGCAGGAAGGATGTGCTGGAAGGGTTGGGCCTCGGGGCAGGGATGCTGGCTGGGGTCCCCAATGGGGTAGTGCCCGAGAGAGAGGAACTGGCATCCACACCAGTCCCAAGCCCAGACCCAAGTGCAGGGGTCCCGAGCCCCAGGCCACAGAGATCCCCTTCAAGGTCGGCAGGGACCCCGTGGCTGAATCTCACACCCCGGGAGGATGTGGTGGGGCTGCAGCCTCTGCCATGAGTGGCCTCAGGAGTCCCCACAGGACAGGCCACAGGTCTCCCCTGCCATGCAGGCCCTGGAGGGCAGCCAGGACTGGAAGGAACAAGGAAAGAGGAATGTGCCTGGGGGAGGGCGCTCCTGCCGAGGGCACAGCCCGTGCAAAGGTCCCCAGGTGGGAACGTGCCTGTCGTGTTAGAGGAATTCCAGGGTGGCTTGGGAGGCTGTACGTGAGTGGTTGAGAGGACTGGTGCAGGGAGATGAGGTCTGGGAGGTGACGGTGCTGGATCATGCCGGATCTGCAGCCCATGGCAAGGATTTTGGCTTTTTCCTGCTTGAGACAGGAGCCACGGATGGTTTGGAGCACAGGAGGGACACACAGGGGGACGCAGGCGTCTGCCTTTACAAGAGCCCTCTGGCTGCTGCTTGGAGGATAAACTGAAGGAGGTAGAGGGAAGCAGGAGCAGGGACACCCAGCAGGACGCTACTGCAAAGTTCCCAGAGAGCAATGGTGAGCTCAGGCTGGGGGTGGTCTCAGGCATGGGCAGAAGGCTGGAATTGGGATATTTTAGAGCAGAGAATGGACTGGAAGTACGCAGGAGAGCAGGGAGGTGGCCAGGGTGGAGTCCCTAAGTGCCAACAAGGACACAGCTGCATCCACCGGGGGAGATTCCTGAGCAGGCTGTTGGCTAGGAGTTCATTTTCCTTCCTTCACTTTCCCACGACAACTTGGTGAGGCAGGGGTTGCCCCAGTGACAGGGAGGCCAAGCCAACCAAAAACCACACAGACACCCCAGCTCCTCCCTCCCCTGGCCCCAGAGGAAGCCCTGTGGGTACCTGGCAGGTGTGCAGGTGTCGCAGCCACAGCCACTCAGAGCAGGAGGGGAAGCCCTGCCATCCCAGACCCAGGATGGCCCCCCCAACCACCTGCCAGCCCAAGCCCACCCCAGGGATATCCCAGGGTCCACGCGGGTATCCCCTCTCCCCAAGAGAAGGCCGAGTCTGGCCCAAGTGGCCTGGCCCTGCAGCCAGACCACCACCCATGCCGGCTCATGGGTGCCAAGTAGTCCCCACGCATGGGGCCCACAGCCGAGCCCTCTACCCAGATGACCAGGTGACACCCTGCACACAAGGTCCCAGATCAGTGAGGAAGAAACGGGGCTCAGAGAGGTGCAAAGTTTACACAGCTGTGGAGGTGGGGGTGGTGGAAATCACACCTGGGTCACCTGAGAGCAGATGGACGGAGGGCCCTGGGATAGGTGAGCGCCCAGGTGAGGCCTGGGGCCACCTGCAATGCCAGGCTGCCTCCCCATGGAGATGCAGATGAGCCTAAAGTTGTCTGGCTCCTCCTGCCCAAACTGCATCCACCGTCCCTCAGGCCTGGGTGGCTGCAGACTCAACCCAAGTCAGCCCGGTGCCACATGGTGCCCCAAGGAGTGGCTGGACCGGGCAGTGGAAGGAGCCTTTGTCGCTCTAGGTGTCCAGGCCATGTCCTAACCAAGTTCCGCCCCTTTAGTGCGGAGCCAACTCTGTCCCAGGTCACTTCGGGGGACTCTGGAGTCTCACCTCCCTGCCCCTTAAGAATCCAGGAGCCCCAGGCGCCTGGCAGAGCCCCGAGCTGTCCGCCTCACAGGCCTGGGTTCGGGGCCCAGGGGGCTGCCTGCTGTGCAGGGCTCAAGACAGGGGTCACTAAGCCCTCTGTTCCAAGCACTCACAGAACCAAACAACCCGCCCTCGAGGAAGCTCTCAGAATGTGCTGAAAGCTGACCACCGACCACAGGACCGTCCTTACCCCCACCAGATGGCAGCTCTCTGCTCCACGGCACCCCAGGCCCTCCCCTCCCAGCTTTCCCCTCCCTCATGCCAGCTGCCCCATGACCACAAGCCTGGTCCTGGCCCAGAGCTTTTGCACTTGCTGCTCCGCCCACCTGGAACACCTTCCCCACTTCTTCCCACACTCTGGCACCTCCAGAGAGACCCGGCGCCTGCCCTCCTCCTGCCGCCCAGCTCCGTGCACTCGGTGCTTGACCCACCTCCAAGCCTTTGCCCGAGCTGCCCCCTCCCTGCACACCTACCTGCCACCTCCCACCCAACCCAACCAGCAGCAGAACCTCAAGGGGCAGACAAGCGCCCAGCTGGGGGCCCAGGTTTACCTTGGTGAGGTCTTCAGATCCCGCAGGCTGGCCAGCGGCCAGCAGGGGTGACGGTCGCAGCAAGGGGTCGGGCAGCAGCTCTAGCCGAGGGCGCTTGCTTTCAATGAACTCCATCTCTGACTTCCCCAGCTCGGGCAGGTACGAATGGGACTCTGGCCGCAGGTGGAGCTCCTGGGACCTGCGGGAGTTAAAGCATCGGCGTCACACAGGAGATTGCGGCTGAGAACTCCCGAGGCCCCGACTGCCCTCTGCGCCACGCACCTACTGCGTGCCGTGCTCTGTATGATCCTGCGAGAAAGGTGCTCACAGGAGCCCACCTCCCACGGTCCCACCGCGGGGCAGGACTCCAATGCAGCACTGCCTTCCTTCAGGTCCACATTCACCAAAGACGTTTACAGGGAGGGAGTGCGCTACAGTGGCACTGGAACGCCCCAGAGTGACTGCCCCCCCTTGCCACTCGGGGTGGTCCGTGGACCAGCCCACCGTCCCCACCTGGGGCTGGTTACAAATGCAGAATCTCCAGTACTACCTGAGGCCTACCGAGTCAGACTCCGCATTTTAACAAGATTGCCGGGTGGTTCACAGACACAGTTCATTCAGGAAACACTGTGAGCCTAACGCAGATAACAGCACCCGTGATGCCATTTCCCTCTCACCCACGCAGGGCAGACATCGCTGGCCAATCGCAGAACTCTTGCTGCTGAACCTGGCCTAACCACCTTCTCAACTCAGCCCAGCAGCCCGGTGCAGACCGGAGCTGCCCAGCATCCCCAGCGACGGGCTCTCCTGAATGCTCCTCCACAGTGTGCCTAGAGAGGGCATGGCCTTGCCTAATTAGGCACACCCCACAGAGCTGGGACTCCTGGCCTCCACCTCTCAGGCTCCAGCCATCACCCACCAGAAACAGCCTGAATGTGGCCCTTGCTGAAATGCTTTTCCCGAGGCTGAGCAGGGAATCCACAGCCGTTCCCCTCCTGCACAAGCCCTGTCTGGCCTGGCCCTCGCTGTCCTCCGACTTCACTCCTGCCCCAGGGCCTTTGCACCTGCTGGACTCTGCCTGGAGCATTGAGACCTCAGGCCCTTCACATGAGCTCCCCTCTCCTTCACATCTTGGTGCAGATGGCGCCTCCTGGCCCGGGCCAGACCACACCACACCCGCCTGTCCACTCTCTCTCCACTGCCCTCCCCACGTGCTCGGTGGCCACAGGTGTTTCCTGGCCACCTCCCTCACCCTAGAATGAACGCAGGGTGGTCTTGTTCATGGCTGTCCCCAGGTACTGGCGCACAGTAGGCGTTCAATCAGTGCTGTAGATTGACTAAACTCTGCCCACCGCAGCATAGGCTGGGGCCATGTTGCTGGCCCCACCCAGTGGGGCGAGGTAACCACCCCTCTAGGCTCACCTCCCTTAAGTCCTTGTCCCTCCAAAGCTGGGCCCCAAGACATCCCCCTCTTCAAGGCCCAGAACCTAGGGCTTCACCATTACACGGTGCTTGGCAGGAAGCGCATGGTGTTTTCACTTAAACATGACAGCAGCACTGCAGTGGCTCGAATAATGTCCTCCCAAAATCCATGGCCACTGGAACCTCAAAATAAGACCTTCTTTGGACCTAGAGTCATTGCAGATGGAATTAAGCTAACAGGAGGCCATCCTGGATTAGGATGACTGGGGTCCTTGTAACACGACAAGAGAACACAGAGACGGACAAGGAAATGGCCACGTGAGGCAGAGGCAGAGGCAGAGATTGGAGTGACGCAGCCACAGACGAGGAATGCCTGTAGCCCCCAGAAGCTGGAGGAGACAGAAAAGCGTCCTCCCCTCAAGGCTTCCGAGGGGGCGCGGCCCTGCGGACGCCCTGACTTCAGATCACGGGAATGCACTTATGTGGCTTGAAGCTACCCAGTTTGTGGCACGCTGTGATGGCAGCCCCAGGAAACCAATCCAGGCACAGAAGGCACACTGCCTCCGCCTCCCCTCCTCCTCCAGACACCTGCGCCCACTTGACTTCACCAGCCCCGCCTGCTCTGGGGCCCTGGGACACCTCCATGGTACCATGAAGGGCGGGGGCCTGGTGCCTCGACTTCTAGTCCTGGCTGAGTAAACAAGGGCCCATCCCTCAAATTCGCAGCCTCAGCTTCTCCATCTGAGAAACAGGTACAATTCCCCACACTTCCGCCGTCTCTAGCAGAAGCTCCTGGAGATGGTGGGAGAAAGAACATGGCCTAATGATCCCAAATAAATGTATGGAGAGCTGGCTCCGGCCCAGCCCTGGCCCTCCCCTTGCTGTAGTCCCCCCAGCTCCCCGCCCCACCTCCCTCCCACGCCCCCACCTCACCTGTTCATTCCCCTCCCACCTGGATCAAGGAAAGTAAGGCTGGCCCGGCACAGGCACACACCAGGGGGCGTCCTCTGCCAGCTGGAGAAGAAGGAGGCATGGGAGGGGAGGGCAGGGGCCCCAGGGGCACCAGGTGTGGACTCGAATCTTCCCACAGCAGCCCAGCCCGGCTGCAGCCCAGCTTGGAGGTCCCCACTGCTGCCCAAACCCACAGAACCCACTGAAGTTCCACGCTGGAAGTCTGAGGGCCATGTGGCTCTTCCCTGCTGGTCCTCATCCTCACCCCGAGTCACGGCCACACCTGGTCAAGGGTGAACACACGGCCCGACACCCCCTCATTTCACAGGACCCTGGGTGCTCCTGCTCCACCACGGGCCTCTGCTTCTCCATCTGAGAAGGGGCTCCAGAGAAGGGACAAGGAGGCAGCAACTCTCCTCACCGTTCATTCCCGGGCTGGAACTCGGACAGCAGGGAGGGCCTCCGCCGCTGTGGCTGGATGATGGAGCCAGGCGACAGGTGGGAGGCATAGTCGCGGGAGTGGTGCTGGTACTCCAGGAGCCCGACGTCCTGCAGGAGGGGACAGAGGAGCGGTGAGCGCAGGCGGGCACGGGCATGGTGGGGCACAGCAGGCAAGGCCGTGGACTCCCTGCTTAGGCTCGCTCCTGCCCTAGGCAGATAAGCCCAAGTCCTGCAGGGAACTTCAGGGACCGTCTGGCCAGAGGCTACCCCTGGGGCCGAACGCCAAGGAGAAGAAGGAACACAGATGGTTGAACGGCCCTGGGCTGCGTCCTTCCCACACAGCCTCCCACAGTCTCACGATCACGCCCACCTTCCAGGTGAGACCGTCAAGTCTAGGAGGGCTGATGGGGCTGTCTGAGGCCACAGGCTAGTACAGGCCTGGAACCATCCTGACCACGGTGTCTCTCTGCCAGCCACGTTGGTGCTGATTGCAGGAGGAGAGAGTATAGGAAGCTGTCTTCACTTTTCTACCCTCCCACCCCATCCTACCCCTGCCAGGCACTGGGTCCCTCTGGCCTGAGGAGCTGCAGCTTGGAAATGCAGGCCTGGGAAGACAGGACTGAAGGTGCATATGGGGCAGCATTATTTGTAAAAACAGAAACGCATTTGCAGCAACAACTGGGAAAAGGCCCAACCTAGATGCCCAGCTCTTGGCAGGGTGGGTAAGTGATGCCCACGTGAGGGAACGAGGCTCGGGCCTCACTCGCCAGGAGAAGGATGGATGGTGGCGATTGACGGCGACAAACAGCCGATGGCCAGCGAGGCCCAAAGACCAGGTTTCAGAACGAAGCGCCCCCTGACCCCAAGCCTGCCCTGTAAAAGAGAAACTCCCGCAGGTAAGGCTCGTATCACAGCCAGAAGGGTAAGCCTCAGGCAAACCCTCCTCCTTTAATAACACACCGCCGTCCATTTGACAAAGACTCTCCTTGCCCACACCAGAGTCAAGCTCCTCTAACCCATCCTCTCTCCACAGGGCCTCGACCTTGGCCTTGGCCTTGCGGGGCTGTGCCCAGCTGCAGGAATCCTGGTAAGTCAGTCTAGAGGAACCCCCCACCCTCAAGCGCTCCTCTCAGTAATTTTCCATCCACTGACCCCTCCCTCCGCCCTGCGGCTAGGCTATGAGGCCCCAGCTGTCTTGGCCGTATTTGGAGCTGAGCCCGGTCTCTCTCCCTTATTGTGACAGTCTGGACACTGACAGCACAATTGTCCTGTATAGTCTTCCTGCTTAACAAGTGTCCAAATACTTTTTTCTTTAACACATTATCCATTATCATAGGGGAGAAAACTCAATATCAACAAATTAAATGTATACCAATTGCCAAGTACACCCAGATTTGAGAAACATTAAACTGTGTTTAAAAAAAAAAAAGACAGTAACAAGTCTCTCAAACTAAACAAGGCAGGCTTCACTTATGCACCAATCCCAATAGATTAGTTCTGCCTGCCTGGAACACTCAGTTATGCTGTTTGCGGTAATCAGTTAGTGATGTCTGACACAGGTGAGGCTTCAGAGAGTGGGATTGCAGGATTCTTCTTGGCACCTTTCTTTAATTTTCCCGATTTTCCATAAAAATCTAGTCATTCTTGGCCGGGCGCGGTGGCTCAAGCCTGTAATCCCAGCACTTTGGGAGGCCGAGACGGGCGGATCACGAGGTCAGGAGATCGAGACCATCCTGGCTAACACGGTGAAACCCCGTCTCTACTAAAAAAATACAAAAAGCTAGCCGGGCGAGGTGGCGGGCACCTGTAGTCCCAGCTGCACGGGAGGCTGAGGCAGGAGAATGGCGTAAACCTGGGAGGCGGAGCTTGCAGTGAGCTGAGATCCAGCCACTGCACTCCAGCCCGGGCGACAGAGCAAGACTCCGTCTCAAAAAAAAAAAAAAATCTAGTCATTCTTTTGTTGTCTGGCTTTTTCAACAAGGCAGTTATTTTTGCAAAGAGAATCAGACACAATGCCAGGTAGATGTGTTGATAACGTATCTGTTGCAGACCCAACAAAATCAGCACATAAGAGCCCAGGAGCCCAGAGGCCAGGAAGGATGAGCAAGTGGAATCCATGGGGACCCTGGCAGCCTCAGAAGCTGGAAAAGTTGGGGAAAGGACCTCCCTGGACAGTCCAATGTAGACACCAAAAGCTGCAAGGCCTCCAACAGAAGGTATGTCTTTGGCCCTGTTATTCGAACCCTCTGGGCCTCAGTTTCTCCTCTTTGAAATGGGTGCCCAGCCCAGATTAAAGGAGGCCGGCACCTCCTACACTCATCTTCTTCACCTCTCTGAGGGATTCCCCCAAGGCTGAGAGCAGCCTCCAGAAGGCAGAAAAGGCACGAGCCTCCTCCTGCATCCCGCAGTGTCTAGCACAAGACTCCGGGTGCTCTCAGTGGGAGGAGAAGGGAGAAGACGGGGCTGGAGGGAGGGAGTGGAGGAGGCCACTGGGCTGACGATGACGCAGCTGCCAAGCCAAGACCTTGCCACACACACAGAGGTGTGAGAAGAAAGCAGCAGGCCTTGCAGTCTGCCAGGAGGATCCTCTCCGCCCAGCTCTCCCGTACCAAGGCCAAGTGGGCAGAGAGGCAGGGCAGATGGTCCAGTCCCTCGGAAGAGGGCCTCGGCCAGATAGTGCTCACAGCAGCCAACCATGGTGGAGGAGGCCCAAAGCGGGGGCTGGGGAGGCCTCTGCATGAACCCTTTGGCCTTAGTTTCCCAATTTAGTAGATCCTCCCAGGAGCATCTTGGGGGCCGTTTCTGCCCGAGATCTGTGGGCATTTTGTTACTGGACCCTAAACCCTGGGAGACACTCAGTCCACACTGGCCCCCACCATGAGGCTTGAAGCAGGTCACCAGGGTTGAGCCCAGGGACTCCCCCGACAAGAGTGCCTGGAGGTTCTAGGGGAAGGCAAGAATCGGGGAGGCCCCACCAGAGAAACTGACCCGAGGTGGGGCCCCAGGGGTCCCATGAGCTGGAATACACCCAGGCTGGAAACCACCTCGCCATGTCTCCGAGCAGGAGAGCTCCCCGCGTGACAACATTAATCATAAAAACAACAATAATACCCCACAGTAATAAATTGCCTGTGTGCACCTGCAGCTAAATGCTTGAAATATATTAATTTCATCCCTACAGCAGCCCTGTGAGGTGGATATTACAAGAAGCCCCACACAAAGATGAGAATACAGAGGCACAGAGAGGGTAAGTGGCTTGTCCACGCCACACAGCAAGAAGGGGGTACGTTCTGAGATGCAAGGCAAAGGCTGAGCTGGCTTTCTGAGGAGGGACAAGAGGGAACGGTCCCCAGGCTCTTAACCTGTCCCGGTAGGACAGCAGCAAATCTGACTTGGAGAGAGGGAGACTGACCCAGCTGCTCAGAAAGGGAGGCAGGAAAATCCGTTCAGGTGATGCCCTCTGGCCTCGGAGGGCTTCTCCCTGACCATGGCACCTCTGAAGCTGGAAATCAGGGCCCCCAATAAATTACACCCTTAAAACTCCTGGGGAAGGTGAGAGGCCACCAGAAAGAGCTGTTCACCCAGGAGGGAATCCCTGCTGGTGCCTTCTTGGCTGGGTCCCAAGGGTGGGGAGGAGTGGCTGGGGGCAAAGAGGAGAAAGGGGCTAGATTCGCGGGAAATGTTTGAGCATGGGCTGGGAGAAGTTCCTTTGCGGGAAAGGAGTGCCCCTCTCTGGCTCCTGGATAGGGCTCCTTACTCCAGAAGATGTCAAGGGAATGCCTGGGACTGCACACTGAAAGCAAAGGAAGAACTCAGCCCGTTCCTAGACCCTGGCTGCATTCATGGGTCTCTCTCGGAATGATGGCGGCTGCAGTCAAGAGAGCTCCCAACTCAGGACCTTTGCACATGCTGTTCCTGCTACCTGGAACATTCCTCAGCCAGATTCCCACATGCCCGGCCCTCTCCCGTCCTCCAGGTTCAGCTCCAAAAGCAGCTTCTCAGTGAGGCTCCTCCCCAACCCTCTACTTAAATGTGGGCTCCCCCAACCTCAGCCCTTCCCCTCGTCTCCTTCCCAACTTGCCATTCCCCACGAGGAGGTCAGCTCCCTGAGACAGGGATGCTTACCTGTTCTGTTCACAGCTGCACTGCAAGGGCCTGGAAGAGGATGGGCCCAAGACACCCGATAAGTATTTGCTGGATGGATGGACGGATGGATGGATGGATGGATGGATGGATGGATGGATGGATGGATCTCCCAGCATGGGAGCTCTCAATGAATGAATGAACTAATGAATGAACGAATGAATGAATGAATGAATGAATGAATGAATCTCCCCCAGCATGGGAGCTCCCACCAGCCTCTCTTTTGAGGGCCAAATCATCCCTCCACAGCCTCTTAAAAGCCATCACCAAGCAGCAGGAACTGAGCTGCAAGAGGGGCCATGAAGCTAATGGAGGACCCCCCAGGGCACTCAGGACACTGCAAAGCTTTCCGCAGTCTAGCCTCTCCCACTGACCCCCGCGTGCCCACCTGTCCCAGCCTGGCCCAGGCAGTCTCCAGGGTCTGGGAGCCTTGGCCCAGGGCAGTACTACTCCACCAAAGGTCTGCAACATTGCCGACCGCAACAAGGTGGGCACAGAACATGACAGCATGCAGACCCTGGGGTCGGCGCAACCCTGGCATCCGAGGGCACAACCAACTCTGACCCTGCCGGACCGGGCCTGCATCTGTGCAATGGGACCCCGTATCGATTTGTGACAAACTGGAAACGAAATAGACCAGTCCTTCCTATAGGAGTCTGATAAGCGCTAATCTAGGCCAAGAGTCAGCACACTAGGGCGCAAGGCCAAGGCAGACCTGGCCAGCGGTGTCCAGTGTCACAGGCGCAGGCCACGCCCACTCCCTTACACCCTGGCTGAGCTGCTTTCACACCGTACTGGCCGAGAAGGGCAGCTGCATGGCCTGCAAAGCCTGAAATATTTACAGAGAAGGTGTGCTCACCCCTGCCCTAGGGGCAAAGCCCAGAGTGTACCCTTGGGGCAAGACAGAAAAGGCTACTAAAGGCGATGTTGTAAGAATAGCATCGTCATCATTACATTATTGATTATATCAAATGTCTGCTTACTCTGTCTAGACCCTGTGCGAAGGGCTCTGTACCTATCAACTAACTGGATTTTCACAATCTTAAAACCATCCTTGCTCAACTGATGGGGAAACTGAGGCACGGGACGGTAAGGCCACTTGCCCCCGGTTTCACAGCTAGGACATCACTAGGGCAGGACGTGGCTCCAGAACCGGTGCTATGAACCAGTCTTCAATACTGCGGCATAGAGAGGTTAAGTAACTTGCCCAAGGCCACACAGCAGAAAAGGGTCACGGTGGCATTCAGACTCTGTGTCCCTGCTTTTAACTGCATTCGTTTAGCCCAAGGTCTGGAGGAGCTCAGGAGCGTTCAGGGTCCCAGAGGACCTGAAGAAGGCAGAGTGGAATTGGGCCACAGAAAGCCTGAAAGGAGGCCAGGAGAGGAGGATGCGTTGATCTCCGGGAAAACAAAAGCTGTGAGCGTTTTGTTACTGGACCCTCAACCCTGGAGACCCTAGCTTCCCGAGGACCCTCAGGGAGAGACATAGGGTCCTGCTAACTGTCACGGAGAGAAGCTGAGAAGCTGGAGCCCTGAGGATGGAGAGAACGGGGCACGGAGGGATGCGGCAGGTGGGAAGCGGGAGGGCAGGGATGATGCATATAGAAGCCTGGAGCATGGCTGAGGCTGAGTCAGGGAACCTGGGGGCTTTCCATGGTCTCAGGGTCCAGGCCTCTGTCTGCAAGCCCCCTCTAAGTGAACTCTCCCATTTGCGCTGGGAATCACTCACCAGCAGCCCGCAGATAACGCCAGGGCAGAGCATGGGCAGAGGCAGCGGCTTACACGGCCCGCACCATTCCACCGCCGGCTCGGCATCCAGGGTCCTGTGGTTCCCCAGGGGGAAGAGGCCCTGCTTGGGTGTCCTGCCACCCTTCCAGGAGGAAAGAGATGACTACCCCGCGCTTGCTGCACACAGACACTGCCACCGATGCGCAGACCCACCAGGACACCGGTACTGCAGGTGGGGAAACTGAGGCCAATGCCACTCAGCAAGCTGGACACGGAGAGGGATTCGAAGCCACACTGAGGTCTCACAGGCTCCAGGGAAGACCTGCCATCAAAGCAGCCCCGTGCCCAAAGCGCCAGGAAGAGGATGCTCCGGACAGGAGGGGCTGTCCCAGGAGGCAGGCCTGTCGGGAGTATGTGTGGGGGTGACCTGAATCTGGGAGGGTCACTGAGGCATCTCGTGGATCCCAGCACAATGGCCTCAGCTACTATACAAGGAACCAGGACAGCCAGGTTCCCGCCACTGACCGTCCCCTTCCCCGGGGGTCTGTCTTTCTGTGGCTTGATGAGGAGCTCGGGAAGAGGGTGGTATCTTTTGAAGTGGGTCTCGCCCGTTAAAAGGACAGGAAGGGTTTGGGGGCTGAGGGGCTGCCAGGGAGGAGCCTCCAGATCACAGCCCCCAGCTCACCTCCAACCCGCAGCAAGAAAGTGGCTCCACGCTGCAATATGCCCAGGGTAGCAGGGCCCTTCTGAGAGTGCCCAGAACCCTTCCTCCTGCCCTTCAAGAGACAAGCAGGGTTCCCTGGATGGGCAGCCCTACCATGAGGCAGGAGGGTCCGATGAGGGGCGGCTCCCCCAGGGAGGAGCACACACAGGTGGGCCCTGCTGCCCCCACACAAGGACAGGAATGTTCTCACCTGTGGCTGCCAGGCTGGGCCCCGCTCACTCCCTGGCCTCTTGCCTGGAGGGGGTGGTGAGCGCTTGGCCCTGTCCACCCATACCCTGCGTCACTGACAGCCCAGCAGGAGAAGAATGGGAGGTGTCTAGGCTCAGCCAGTGACCCCGAGGGCCCAGTTGGGGCAAAGGGCAGGAGAAGTGGGAGGGCAGAGGCTACAGCAGCCTGAGGACTCCCCAAGGCTAGGAGCGGGGTGGGGGCTGAGTGGGAACCTCCACAGGACAGGACAAGAAACCAGAAGCCAGTGGCCCTGCCAGTGCCCCTCCCCTCGGGGCAGGCAGGTTCCCCTCTGGGCAGCAGCGGGAACAGCAACAAGACCAAGGAATGGCAGCGGCAAACGGACAGAGCGGGCTGGCCCTGAGCCAGGCGCCATCTTAAGAACATTCAACATATCCCCTTTACCCCTCATGAGAATCTAGGAGACGGGTACTCTGAGTACCCCCGCTTTATGGGTGACAAAACTGAGGTTCAGAAAGGTTACGCAACTCGTCCGGTTTCCTACCCTGTGAAATGTTTTCCCATTGACAAAACACAGAGCATGATAGTCGTACCACTCTGGGGTGATCGGGGGAAGGCACACAACCATATACACTCGGGGCTTTGAACATTTGACCTGTAGTAGGTGCTCAGCTAACAAGAGCTCTTCTTTTTGTTGGTGGTGGTGACAGATAAAGACCATGATGACAAAATATGAAATCGTTTCCTACCGGGAGTCTATTCCTTAGCCCTGGGCACACAGTAGGTGCTCAATAAATAAAGGCATGGGGGAGTGGGGGGACACAGAGGCTTGGAGCCCCAATGCTGTGGCAGCCTCCCCACTTAGGGCAATTGCAATCGCACCTGAGGCCTGTGATTGAACCTCTTGGGCCTCGGTCTCCTCATCTGCAAAGTGGGATGACAGCGCGAGCTGCTCTTTCACGGGGCCGCTGGGGAGAATGCAATGACTCTACACAGGGAAATGCCGTCCTAAGAGGGATCCACAATGCACCCACTGACGACAGCTGGCTCTGCAAAGCGTCCCAGGGGCCCAAACCTACAGGAGGCCACTGTGTCAGGGACTCCCCCAGGCAGGGCCAGTGAGCTCATATGCAAAACCTTCTCGCTTACTGATGGAAAAGTCCTCCCACACAGCTTCCTTTCTGGTTCTCACAAGAGGGGACCACACCAGACAGGCAGGACAGACACATGCACACACACGCACACATGTACCCCCACGGTGGCCGGCAGAGTCAGCTTCCATTCCAGCTGTGACCTTCAGGCCTCACATCCATCACTCAGCAGCCAGGAGGTCACAAGGGGGAGGTCCACAACTCTGAAAGCCGCTTGGCAAACACCCAGAGACATGGTATATAGCAGGTACCTCGTAAATGCCAACCAAGGCCCATTGTCCTAGCCACACCATGCAGTGAGAGAAGAGGCAGGAAATGGGGCCCCCGCTGGGAGGTAAGGCGGGGTGGGGTGCAGCTTAGGAGACCCGACCAGGGCACACACGTGGGCAGGCACCGAGGCCCACCTGCTTCCAGGACAGGCCATCTGCCCCGGCCACGGGGCGGGCTCCCCAAAGACACAGCCAGCACCCTGGACCCCCGTGTCAGGGAGGCAGAAACGCAACCTGTGCGGGGCCTCCTCATCTCAGAGCCTCGAGCCTCACCAAGGCGAATACACACGGGACGGGAGGACAGCAAGGAAGGGGAGCTGTGACCTATTAGGCCCCCTTGCCCCCCAGAAGTCACCCCAATCCTACCCAATCCTACCCAATCCTATCCAATCCTGCGGCAGGAGGGGAGCAGAGGTGAGGCTGGGCTGCAGGACAGTGAACACAGCAGGAGCTCCACATTCACGTGCCAATCCCACTGCCAGTCAAGAGAGGGCAGAGCCCCAGCTCAGCCTGGCCCCAGCCTCCATCTTCCCAGCTTTAAAATGGGAGCAAAGAGATTTTACCAGATGTTCTAGAAAAGGCTTCAGACACCAGGAGTCTCTGTGGAGGCCTCCCCTCTGCCCTGGGAGGCTCAGAGCCATGGGAGCCTGGCTCCCAGGAGAAAGGAAGGGGTGAAGACTCAGTGGAATGGAAAAAGGGTCTCAAAGGTAGCCCCAGGCACACATACGTGCACCCACTTACCGTGTGCGTCCGGGCGATCTGCACTGGGTAGGAAAGGCTGTGGGGCGGGTAGCGGGGTTCAGTGGCCCTCCACGTCTGTGCCACAGGCTGTGTGGATCCCGACATGGTGGTGGGGGTCGGGGTGGCTCCCAGGCCCCGATAAGCTTTCTCTTAATCGCCACCAAGGATTAAAAGCCAGTCCTCGTCATCAGCTCACGGGCCACCCCGTCACTGGCACCTGTGAGAAAACAAGAAAGGAAAAACAAGATCAGCCACGGGGCAGGCGGCTCCTCCGCACGTGCGTTCCCAAGTCGTTCCTGTGGTCCCATGAGGACATGCAGGCACCCAAGGGCCTGCCTGGATCCTCCTTCATCCACTGCCACACTCACCTGTTCTCTGGCAGCACCAGAAGACAGGCGTGGCGTTCAAGGTCCCTCCCAGCCATGCAAGCCACGCAAGGGACCAGAGGCCTCCTCCCCACCCGGGCCCTCACCACCACTCAGATGGCTCCCAGCCCCCCTCAGCCTACCCAACCTCACTCCATGGCCCCCCGGGTTTCTGAGTCACGGGGCAGAGTTCCCAGAAAGCACCTGTCCCAGGAGGGGCAGCCAGCAGGGACAGCACACACCGCTGAACCCGGCAGCAGGGGCCAGGGCCAGCTCGGGCGGGCCACAGGCCACAGCATGATCCGGGCAAGGCTGTGACCCTGTGCAGGAGGCTGATACCATGACATGGGGCAAGACTGATATGAGGTTAGCCAGACGCAAGCTGGGAGGTGGGATTAGGACACAGAGGGCTACGCCAGGAAGAGCCAAGGGCAGAATGACAGTCAGTCAGGTCCTGCAGCCTAGGGATAGGTACCCCAAACGGCTCCTGGGGCAGATACTGGCGCCTTCCATGGGAGAGGATCTGCTCATGGCCATGCCAGAGGAGTAACACGAGGCAGGCTGGCAGCTTCACAGATGGAAAAACAGCCCCACAGAGAAGACACGGCCCAGCCAGGGACCCACGGCGGCCCCTACTCCGAAGCTGCCTTTGCTAGGAAACCCCTAAGCCCCCCCGCCCCCAACAAGGCTTCTCCCCTTCCTCTGCCAGCCACAGCTCCACGCCACCTGCTGGGCTTACAACAGGGTCCCATCCCAGACCGAGGCCCCCTCCACACTCTCTCTGAACCAGCCCCTCAGAAAAGGTGTGTCCATTGGGTCCTGCCTCATGCAAATCCCTCTCTAGCACCCCCACAACTGCACACCCCCTGCCCCAGAGCTGAGGGAAATGCACCCTGGCACAGGGACCCAGCGCCTGGATGTGGGCCTCCACGGCGGAGGACTGAGGCTGCATTATACAAGGTTAGGGGTCAGGAGGGGAAACAGTATACCCAGCCCTGCAATTTCATCAGAACACCCCCTCCCCCGACCTGAAGAGGGTGACCGTCCTCCAAGCAGGCATGCCCTGGAGGCCTCATGTGGAGGGGCAATGGGAGGAAGGTTAAGGTCGGGGGCCCTGACTGCCTCCCAGGCCCCACCCCCTCTCTCATTAGTGTAGACTTGACCCTTCCTCCCTCCCCAGGCTCCAGGGATGGTCATGTGACCCGGTCGTAGCCAATCAGAGTCCTACACGCTCCTGGGCCAGTGACTGGCTCAGGGATGAGCCTATGACTCAATAGGAGTCAATGAGAATCTGCCTTGAGACTTTTGATGCTGGAATCAGGAGAAAGCTGCTCTCTGCCGGGGATCTAAGCTGGGAATGAAAGCCTGGAGCTCTGGGGGCCACTATGCAGCAGGAGCCTGCCTGAGATCCACACCCACCCGCAGGAAGGCAGGGCAAAAGGGCAGGTTGTGTCCGATGGTGGCCGGAGGCAGGTCGAAGCCTGCTCACTTCCTTAGGGGAGCCAGGGCGCTCCTTCTGCGCGTTTTGTCTTTGGCAGCCCAAGCTGGGTTTCTGTCACGTGCCACCAAGAGTTTGGGCTCACACAGAGAAAGAAGGAGTCGCAGAGGAGGCGACCCTTCGACTGGCTGCTGTCCATCCTTCAAACACAGAAAAGCCAAGGAATTCCAGAGCCAAGACTGACACATCTACCACCACCTCAGTCCTGCCTGCGTGGGCTTTCCCAGCCCCGAGACAAGATGTACGGCGCAATTCCCGTGAACATGGGAACACGTCCCGCTCCACCATCGCTAAGCTGCGTGGCCTTGGGTAAGTCACTTGCCCTCTCTGAACCTCCAAACACGCAGTGTTCCCTAAACATCAGATATTCATGTGCCACTTTTGCATAGGGACTTTGGTATAGAGATTACCCAGGCCGCAGCCATCTAGCCCCAGGCCTGTCATTTTCATTTAGTTAGGCATAATTTAAAGAGAAGCGTATTATCAGCATGGATATGTGGAAACCAGTACTATGTGGAATAAATAGGAAGGCATCAGAATCACAAATGCACTACTGAAGATGTCTGTGCATATTCCGACTGCCTAAGTTCTCCTGCGAGGACCCCAGGAAAGGCCAGGTGGCGGAGAGGAGGCACTCAGCAGCGCCCAGCACACAGTAAGTGCTCAGCAAACCAGAACTCCCAGCACTACTGTCACCAGGACTGTCAATGATACAGCTGCAGCCCAGTCACCAGTGACGCTATGATGGGGAGGCAAGGCACAGCTAGCCCTGCCCAGCCCCAAGAGCAATGAGACATCCTTTCTGCAGCCGGAAACAAGAGTCTGGCGCTGCGAGAGAGGACAGCTGTGGCCACCGAGACCCAGCCCTGTTCTAAAATTCTTTTTGCTAGAGCTCCGCTCAAAGTCTGCAGACCCTGCTCATCTCATGCAGCAAAGTAAATTCGATTCCCTTCTCTCTAGGTGTTAAACAGCTCCCGGTCTCTCGGAGGAGATGAGGCCATCACTTCTGCAGGGTGCTGTTCCCGAGGTCTGCCCCTCTTCCAAGGGCACCACGGGCCACTTCCAAATTGCGATTGGATTTTGAGTTGCACAAGGTGGCCGAGAGGTCTCATTTACTACAGCTTTTCTTTCCCCCTTTGCCCAGTGAGATGCTGCCTGGGGGTGACAGGCCCCTGACACACACCACAGTGCACACGGGCACCAGAGACCAGGCAGGGTGACACCTTCCTAAAGCACCCCGCGGCTGGCTGGCTTTCCAGTGCCTGGGATTTACATAGTGCCCGCCCCAGAGCATGGGGTTGGAACCTCGGCCCCTCACCTACCAAGGGGTTCTCCCACCAGCCCCCCGCCCAGCGTCCTCACATGCCAGTGGGGCTGAACAGGGAATGACTCCAGTAACCTCGTGCCACCCTCACTCACCACGAGCTTAGGAAACCCAGTTTCCAACCCCTCCCGACCTGAGCCACGTTTCCTGCCAACTTGAAAAAAAACAAATGTTAGGGAAACGGTTTGGCGGTTCCTCAAAAATTTAAACATAGAATAACCATATGACCCACCAATTCCATTCCCAGGCATCCACCCAAAAGAACTGGAAACAGGGACTCAAACAAAACATGGTATGCACGTTCATGGCAACAGAATTCACAGTAGCCAAAAGGCAGACCCAGCAAAAATTCCAGTCCATCCGTACGATGGAGTATTACTCAGCCATAAAGAGGAACGAAGGACGACTGAGCGCTACACCATGCGTAACCAGAAAATGTTATGCTGAACCAAAGAGGCCAGACACAAAAGGCCATGTACTGCATGACTCCATGTATATGAAATGTCCAGAACAGGCACATCCACTGAGGCAGAAAGGAGACTGGTGGCTACCAGGAGGGCAGGGTGAGGCAGGAATGGGGCCTGTTAACGGGTACAGGATTTTATAGGGCAGTGATGCAAAAGTTTTGAAACTTGACAGAGGAGGCAGGTGCACAGCACTGCAAATAGGGAAAAAACTAAGCTTTGACTTTTCATCAGCAGGTTTGGAAGTGAATGCCAAAAAAAACGATGACATCGTTTCCTCAAAGATGGGAGCAGGAGAGGATGAGGGAGCCTCTCCAGGGTCTCCAGGATCTGGTCCTGGCCAAAGGAGGTTCTGAGGATGGATCCGGGCGGAAGTGGGAATTCAGACACAAATGCCCCATGTCACCGCTGGGTCTGGCTGCGGTGGGGTCAGAAAGGGTGGGCGGCATTCATTTATTTACAGACACTCTGGGGTCTCTGCTGAGCCCCGGGCTAGCTCTGGGGACTTCATGTGAACCCGGCAGGATCCAGGCCCTGGAGGGTCTCAGGCCAGGGACTCTGCCCAGCCTGGGGAGAGCCGGGGGATATGAGGAAGAAGAACTTCCAGAGGGTGAAGGAGAGGGGATGGAGAGCACTCCAGCAGGAGGTGCCACTGAGCAAGAGCAGGGAGGTGAGCGCCAGCGGTGGAGGCTGAGCACAGGCCCAGGGGTGAGCACAGGCGCAGGGTGGGGGGTGAGCGCAGGCCCAGGGATGAGCCAGGGCCTGGGGGTGAGCACAGGTGCCATTTATGTTTGAGAAATTCATTGAGTGAATATGGGGGGAGGTGGGGACAGAGTCACTCAGGGCCCCATGGGCCCGGGTAAGGATGGATTTTGTTCTCAGGGCAGTGGGGAGCCACAGAAGGTGGTTGAGGGGGAGAGTAAAGGGTCAGAGTGTTTTACGAGCAGGCACTGCGGTGAGCAAGAGTGGATCAGGGAGACCTGGGGAGGCTCCAGCAAATGTCCAAGAGAGGGGACACTGGGGGATCAGGGCAACGGCGACAGAGAAGGGGAAATGGGCAGGTGAGTGAAAACTCAGGAGGGAGGCTGACTCTGCAGGTCGCGAATACAGCTTGCTGCAGGAGTCCTGCTCCACAGGCCCACTGTGAGGACCCTGTGCCTGTGGCATACCGAGAGGTGCCTGGGGAACAGCAGGTGTCCAGCCATGCAGAGTCAGCAGGATCAGACCTCCGCGGAGAACAAGACAGTGCCTGGGTGAGGTTAAGGGACTTGCAGATATCAGGTGGCCGGGATACCCAACGGGGACACCAAGGGCCCAAGCAGGCCTCTGCACATCCAAGCCACCAAGCACAGCCCCAGGGCCCCTGCTGGCCCCTGAACCAGCTGGAGGAGGGCTGCAGATCCCACGCAGGCAGGCGGAGGGGCTCCCCATGCACAGCTGCAGGGGTCTGTCCCCGGGCCACGCCTGCCAGGAGGTAGCACACACAGAAGTGCCTCCTGCCCCCACTGCAGTCTGCCGGGCAGCACCAGGAGCCAAGTGGGCCACATTCCCTGTTCCCTGCCGCTG